AGCCCTGTCTTCCTGTTCCTGACCATCGTGGTGGCCTCCTCTGGATTCACTGCAGCATGTCAGTGTTTTCCTTGTACTGGGGTCGCTTCTGGAAAGGTTCCAACTTCTAGAGTCATGTTCCTTAGGCTGAAGGTGACAACAATGCAAGAACATACGATAGCCTATTTCTGACTTCTGTTCAAATTGTCCTCAAAAAATTCTCCCTTGAGAGTTCAGAAATACTCAGCCTTGAAAATCTATCAGCCATGTAGTGCAGAGGCACAACCTTCCCGCCAGGAGCTCACACTGTGGCTGCTTCCAGCCTGCTGGCAGAGGGCAGCTTCTGCTGTGGGCTCGGATACAGGACAGCCCCATTCAGCTGCCATGGCTCTCTCCTGGTGAGGCTAATGTTTTCTTGGTGGCAGATATGTGTTTGTGTACTGTGCTCTGTCAGGTCTGATGTAGAAGGGTAGGTAAAGAGCTTCATTGACTTCTAGGCAGAAATTCTGAAAAAATAATAAAAAAAAAAGACCAAGAAATAAATCAGTTTCAGGCATATGAATGATATAGTCAAAATTCCAGTCTCACGAGCTTTGATACTTTAATCAAAGATTCCAGGAACCTAGAATCAGAGATTACTCAGATGTCTCTCTCTTTTTATTTTACTTTTTAAAAATTAATTTAGAGGAGTTAAGTTTGAAAATAGCACTCAGCTGTCCACATATGACTTAAAAGTGGAAAACTGCTGAAGACAAATAAAACCTGGCAACTTTCCCCGATTTATTATTTGTAAAATCTCACTCAAGTTAAAACTGCCCCTGTGGATCTGAGCACCACATCACAGATTTTGAACTTCAGTTGTGACTAAAGCAGAAGACTGTTTTTCAAAACTCTCAGATCTCAGCTACCTTTCCTCTAAATTACTCTTTGTCCTTGGGCACATCACTTACGTCCTTTCATTTTCATTCTTTAACAAAACCTTGTAGCACGTGCTTGTATGCCAGAGGAGAGGAGAGGGTCTGCTCATTATTTTGAACTCTGAGCAAAACATGAAGGCTTCCTCTGCTAATTAGGGCATCAGCCTTATTTATTCAAGTGCTGACATGTTTTTGAATGAACTTTGGATCTTCATGTTGCTATCTAAGCAGTGCTACATAGACAGCAGGAAAAAAAAATCTTTCTTGCATCTTCAGTATTTAAAAATATGACTATACTGATGGCACAAGCATGGATCCAGGTGTTTCACTGAAGAAAGTTGGAATTACAAAAGCAGCCTGCAGGCTTTGTGTCTGCAGGGGGCTTATGCTGCCACAGGTATTGTGCTAGCACCCTGTGTGCCCCCATCCCCAGCCCATATCGCAAAGGTTTTGGACTTTTTTACTTTCCACTGAAACTTGGTGTTATGGGAGCACCAAGGTCACCATATATGCTGTGCATAAAGCTGGGAAATGTTTGACTCCATGTATCAAAGTATGAGAAACTTGAATGTTCAGTGGAGGTTTTCTTCGTCTTCCTTTCTATTTTATTTTTTGAAGGTATTGGAGCCAGGCAGATTGTAAGGCAGAACTTCTTAGAAAGCAGTTTAGAGCAGCATCTGAAATATGTGATTCTTGGAGCCTTCAGAGACTTCTGCATTACAAAATGTGTGCCCAGCCTTCTGAGAAAAAGTGGTGCATGGAATCACCTACCTGTATGTTTGATTTAGCTAAAGAACACAGTTTATCAAAATGACAGAGACATCCATCCTTGATCTGACTTTTTTTTCCCCCAGGCAGTTGTGTATACACCCTGATGTTTGGCAAATGCAGAGTTAAAAGGAAAAGTATTTTGGTTTGATTTTGAACTAAACATCCAGCCTCTGGACATGGCTCTGAGTTCTGTGGTTCTGCCTGCTGTGTGCGCTCGGTGTCTGCCGTCCGCATCCTCACTGCTCAGCTGGCCGGCAGTCTGGAAAATGCTGATGTTCCAAGGGTTACTGGATTACAATTGTTCTCTGCAAACAGAATTCACATCTGTTCTGACAACTTATTTCAGCCTGATGCAACTTGAAAAGGTCGAGATTAATCCCAGAAAATCAGACTTCTTTTTGAAAGGCCAAATCAACTTTAATTGTAATACATGGCTATTTGTATTGGCATTTAGCTGCAGCCGTTTATCCTTCTTTCCACTGGTATTATTTGTTTCTGAGCTTGCTACTAAAGCCTACAATGCCAGCTGAAATGTTCTAAGTAATGTAACAAAAATAACAGCTGACATCTTTTCTTTTTACAGGTTTCCACTGACCCAGGGTATTTTGTGTGCATGGCTTTTATGATTTTTATTTATCAGCAGTCTGGGTAAAAAAGTCATAGAAGAAAAAGTTGGTTCCTTTTATACAGATTCATGGTGGCTACTATACCCTCCTATCCTGCTGGCTTTATCCATCAGAGCCTGAGGGGATGAACCATGTGCTGTGAAGTTCTGCCTCTTACCTAATTTGGATCCCAGACGTTCAGGGGTTTAAAGCCCCCTTGCATCACAAGGGTTGCAAGCTGTGCTTTTCCATGTAGGTGAGGTGACTCAGACCAGCACCCTCCCCTAGGCATGGTGTAACACCTCTCCAACAACCCCGCTCCTCCTGGCAGCTGCTATCAGCTCAGCATTCAGCCATCAACTGATAGCTGAGCTCTCAGATCCCCTGAAAAGTGACAGCATGAGAGATACTGATTTGGCAATACTCTGCTCTTGCTGTTTGGCCTGGAGAAAGATACTCTAAGTGGTAAGATTGTTTAGCAACAGCTGGCAAGCACCCGGGTGTGAGCCTGATTTTCAGACATGACAAGCACTTATAGGAATGTTGCCAGATACAGCTGTTTAAAAGCCTTAATAAACAGCAAGTCAATACTAATCTTTGCCAAATTAATCTTTTCCTTGACAGCCCATCAGAGCAATTATACTCAGACTCGTTGTAAACACACAGTTGTCAGAGGGTAAGGATCTTCTCTGCAGTATACTGTGGATTTTTGCACACAGATTGTTTTCCAAATAGGTAGACTTCCTTTTCTTTTCCTCTTCCTCTCTCTCCTTTTTTTTCTCTCTTTTTTTTTTCCCTTTTTTCCCCCTCTCTCATTTTATTTTCAGGCCGATTATATGATTGCCAGCTTGGTATTAGCCTGAACAAAATTTCTTTGTAAAGTGTCTATCACAGCAAGTCCTTAATAGAATGTGAAATGATGACAGTCACAGGATCCATGCAGATGCACATTTGCTAGTGGGTTTCTCTAATTAGGCAGTAACTGTGACAGACTCTGAAATGTTACAAGTCATTGTTCTCACTTGTCCTCTTGTTGGTGAAGTAAGAGCTACATTTGAGATGTGATTTAATGTGCTGCTGGGTAATAATAAAATACATGGGTTTGCAAAGGAAAGCAAATGGTGTCTGTGAGACCTGACACAAAGCACCTCCTGTTCTCCAAGGTGCTCAGCACCTCCTGCAGCACTGCCAGCATGCTGCTATCCCACAAAAAATATTTTATTTCAATGCAAAAGGGCTTGAAAACAACAGAAAAAATAATTAACAGGGTAATGGTTGTTTATCTGTCTGCCTGCCTGCCTATTTATCTAGTCTTTTTGACTGTATCTGTACCTCTATACTCACCTATCAATGGGAGTCTAGGGGAGTAACTCCTCTATGGGCTACATAAGATCTCTTAGCTAATTCTCACAGTATATGCAAAATACAGATTTTTACCTACTCCATTTTCCCAGAACACAGAAAAATATCTCTGTGGATCTGCCATGTTTACAGGACTGGGGAAGAAACAGGCTTGGAGATGGTAGTTCAGGGTGGGGGTGATGTCTCAAAAGGCTAAAGAAGGTGGTAAGAACATGTTTTACCTTCCAGTAATGAGCTCTTTTTTTTTTTTGTTGGGTTGCCTGTTTAGAGAGGAGCCTCACAGGGAATATTTGGCAGACGCCACTGGAATCAGGAGCTGGTATTTGGTGAGAGAGAGAAGTGGGCATGAATACATTACATTTCCCTGTGAATGGCTGGGGCCCTCTATGAATACATTACTTACTTACTGCCTGTGGATGAGTGTGAGAGGAAAATCCTATGGCAGGCCCATTTGAATTAGAATTTGGCTTCTTTGGTCAGAGGCAGCAGATGGATGAGATTTCTGCTTGGAACACACGTGAGTCTGGGGATAGAGAAACCAGGATATCTCCTGTCACCAGAACATGGCACACTGAGAGCAGCAGTAAAATCAAAGAGCTTTTCCTTTGTAAAACCTCTGCTTACCTTGTGCAAGCAGATGGGATTTACAACCTGCAGAGTCTATATGTTGCCAACCTTGCATTCTGTCCACCATGTTTTAAAAGTAATTTTAAAATATATTATTTTCAACGAACAGCAGACTATTTCCTTTGGTTTCTGTCACTCTGACAGATGTTTTTATTATATTTTCTTGCTGTTACTGTGTAGCTTCCATGTGCAGGTTGTTTAGTTCCTGCGTGCTTTCCCATTATCATGGTTAGGCCAGATGGTGACTTACAACCAGTGACTGGGGTGTGTGTGATACTGTGGTGCCTAAGGCACAGTGCTGCAGTGAAGGATGGGGCACATCTTCACCAATTCCACTGGAGTTGCACCTGCTTCCAGAAGGATCCCACCCATCTATTGGCAACTTATATCTGTCAATACACAGCCGAAAATAAACAGCAGACTGCCCATGGCTGGCAACCATTTATTTTTCTGAGGTCAGACATGAAGAATGGACATCTATGGATTGAAGTTGGATCTTTCTTTTGGGAAAAAATGGTTTCACTATATCCATGGCCAAAACCTGCTGTTCTTCAGCACAGTTGTTTCATCTGAGCAGAGACCAGGCACAGAACCTCATTCAGAGGATGGGTACCAGAGCCACACTGGATGGGTAAAGTGCTGCATAGCACACACACCAGTTTCCCATGCTGACAGACTGAGAGACACCAACTAGCCAGAGGTTCATACAGAATAAGTATTTTATTCATGATGTATTTTTTTATTTACATTAAAGTTTTCTTGTATTTCGAACTCTGCTTGGATACCGAAATTAACAACTTTATGTGACTGCACACCTGCTCTATAAGAAATGAAGATAACACAGTTCTTTTCCATAAAAGAAAAAAGAAAACTGCCTGTCGAAATCAAAGTTGATTTTTCTCATTCTCAGTAATTATCTTTTATCTTTAGAATTAATATGAGTGGAAAATGTAGTTTACTGTAATATAATAAATAGAAGACATTGGGTAATTAGTAGTGCTGGTATATTTCTAAAGTACTAAACAGACAAACAATAAACTGTGAATTTAATCACGAGTTCTCATACAGTTTCAAGACAGGAAAATTAGAGCTCTCAGCTACAGTTATTTGAGTAATCACATCTGATCTGCATTATTTATTAGTTATTACATGCCAAGTGATTCTGATTGTACATTGCCTGAAATCATTCAGAAGCAAGCATGCCTTTGTTTCTGTTTTGTTTTATAAAGAAAAACCAATGGCATTGCCAAATGTGTATTCTATCTGAATTGCTTCCTTTATTTCACACAGAAAATACAAATCAATGGTAGTGTCCATTAATGGGACAGGCATCTGGGACAAAATCATCCAGAAATATATTTTCAGAGCTATCCCTGATCCCAAACATTGACAAAATACCTTCTTTTGGATATTTTTATCCCTTTCCCTGTGGCTGTTGAACTTACCTTTCATTTTAGGATTTATTTCTGATATACTCCCTAAAATTCTATGGGACTTTTGCATATATAATAAAATGGCTGAAGCATATTTGGTAATATTTCTTTTGGTAATATGTTTATTCCACTTGACAAATTAACAAAACATGATGAAGTTTCAAGAAGCAGTGTTATGTAGCTTTATTCAGTTAGTTTTGTTGGTTCAAGTCTTAGTTTTGGGCAACTTCCTCCTACAATGCTTTAAAAAGGGAATTACTTAAAATACCTTTTCTTTTTTATTTTCCATAACAACCAAAGAAATAGAGAAATAGTTCTTGGTTACCTTCATTTTCTGCCATTAAAGCAGGTTTGTTGTTATATTTGTCACTGTAAAAACTAAATAAAGTATTCACATCATCAGTTGTGAACAATTTGTGCCAGCAAAAGTTAAAGCGTCAAAGAAACCTCTTTAAAATGCTAACAAATTTACTTACAAACACCTATATTTATTATTTCATAAATAGGCGCAATAGGTTCCATAAAAAAGATTAAATACAGACACAGTATGAAGAAACAATAATACATAGCCATATGTAGAGGTTATAATTTAGCTGTCTCCAATCTGTTTCTGCATCTAATAAAATATCAGGTAAGCATTTGGCAGTTTTATACATAAATGGACTTAAATGACGTTTACTAACCAGTACACATAAAGTGATTTTCTTTTTAAAAAAAAGCAATTTTTTAGGCAGTACAAAATAAATGTGTTTGCTCTTTATCAACATTAGTTTTTTCTCCTAAGTTTTTTGTATTTATTTCATGAGACAAAGCCAATATTTTTAATTAATATAATTTGGGACTACTTTACTTTTTTTCTCCAAATACTTTGAAAATATAGACTATCAGTCAGTTGTTTAAAAATGAAGTAAAAATATGAATGTTTGCCAATTTTACCCTTATTGTGAAATCAATAAACTGGAATGAGCCAGTTTCAATTACAATTAGCTACAAAAACATTCACATTTTATACTCTAGGAGAGTGTAACATAGATGCTATTTACAAACTTGCTATGACTGCTACATCAAGCCATTTAAAAAGTCTTTAGTAGTTTCATATAAACACCCATTATGAAAAACCAATGGAAAATCCAGGACTTTTATCCGAGACATCTACAGTTGCTAAGGCAGTTACTACCGCAGCACTTCACAGCAAAAACCAACATAAAATCTGAATGGTCCAAGTTTCCTTCAGGGAAGAAGAAAAGCAATGTCCGTTATAGGATCTCAGGGAAGGGGTGGAAAGGAGAAAGAAAGAGAAAAAATGGGGAAAAAATAAAGAAAAGGAAAGAAGCGAGACTATTTTTTCCAGAGTGGGTGACCCACAAGCTCAAATAGTCCTAAGTGCTTAGCAACTTGTATTTTCTAATAAAATGCAGAACTGCCCTGACTGCATAAAGCAATCCATGATGAAAAGACTTCCCTGCATTCCTCAGTGAAAGGAAAGGAGAGGTGTTTCAGATTTTCAGGTAAGGTAGAGTGCTTTGTCCCTCTGCATGCCCCTGTTCAAAGAGAAAAAGAACAAATGTGACTTTTTTTCTTATATTTGAAAAATTTTTAGTTCTATTCTTCAAGGAAAAAAAAAAAAAAGATCAGCCCCACAACCCCACTGCATGTCATTAATTCCAAGCATATCACTGAAGTACAGCTGCATTGTCATGGTAATAATAAGAAAAAGTCATAGTGACTTATAACAACCTGGAGACCACATCTGTCTTTAAAACTGCCCAGGACTGGGACATGGGTTTGAGCACTGGTTTGGGGAAACCTGCAGTAGTGGGCTGGTAGCACTGACTATCAAAATCTGCTTGGAGCTCCAGATTTAGCACAGGTCTTGGAATGATGCTCCATAAGTGACCTATAAGAAGCAGCCAGTTTCCTCAGAGGCAGGAGAGCTTCATTACATGAACTTGGGTGTCAGCCACTTACTGAGCCTCTGGCATGCTGATTACTGGTACAGATATACCCAAAACGTGCTGGATTGGCAGCATTTGCATGATAAGCATTTGCAAGGGAACAGCAGAAGCCAAGCAAAGATAGTTTAAGTTCAGATGGATTTACAAAGTCTTATCTACACAGGGTGGACTATCTACAGGGATATGTGCTCAGAGAAAGCTGCTGGGGATGGGAAGTTACACCCACTGCACACCTGGAGAGCACTTCTAGGAACAATAACACATTGCTTTGTTCCAGAAGAGACCAGGAATCAAATCCACAGGTGGCTGTGGCCTGTTTGACAGAGGAAAGTCTATTCAGAGCTCAGTGCAAGTGGTTGTAAAAGTTGTGGGCTGGATAGATTTCAGCTAGGGCCTGCAGCACACGTCTTGACATGGTGGTAGAGCACAGAAGTGAAACTGTTCTGCTGAACAAGCGGGCAAGTCGTGGGGCAGCAGAGATAGGTATGGGAAAGAATGATGCTGCTGTTCAGACTAGCTAAAGTTCCCCTCAGTGTCAGCAGGTTGTAGCGAAGGTGTTATTCTGAACTAGTAGCCAGAAAATTATTTTTATTCAGTTCTAATTTGAGTTCCAGAAACACTAAAACAATAAGGCAAGTGAAATTTTCGGTTTAAGTAAATGTAATGGATCAAACTGGTCTTTAGTTCTGCTTTCTGTTCATTTGTCTGGGCTAGATTTGGCACTTTGGGAGCAAGCAAGAGCTTTTATCTCCCATTGCCTTGCGGATTCAGGCTAAGTCAAGGGGAGGTCAGGCTGGTGGGCATGTTCACAAAGCACAACATCTATAATTTAAAACTGAAAAGATACCTTCTGTTCAGTGTTAAATGTTTCCAGGCAGTTTGTGGCACAGTAACATGGCTCCACAAAAACCAGGCTGCCAAAAGTTGAAGGTTTGAAGGGGTTACTAACCTTATATTGAGGACATAGGGCTCCTACAGGTATGGTGTTTTGTTTCTGGTTACAATCACGTGTTCTTCATGCCATTCTCTTGCATGTATCCCATGTATCAGTCCTGCTTCTCGCTGATGTGGTTTTTCATGAGCCCAGCTAGCTATTTTCATGACCCAGACTAGAAAATAGTTCACAACATTTGCCTCTCACTGATACACAGTGATCTTAAAACTTCTTTCTTACTCCTTCTCCCTAAGATTTCTGTTCTGATCTTCTATGGAATGCAAGTTCTCTGAGACCTAGAAAGTGTATGTGCTGTGACAAGGTGACAACAATGTCTAATAAATGTATGTACTGAACAATTGCTCTCCCACAACAGACTAACTGCTGAATAAATACAGGGCCATCACAGATACACTTCAGAAACACTGTGGGGAAACAGGCAACAATGCTGTTCCCAAATTCTCTATCATATACTTGTGTCATGAATGTTGCTCAACACAAGGTGGCATTCACTGGCTGCTTACCCATTACTGCAGTAGTCATTATTCCAGTCCACAGTTTGTGCTGGAGGATTTCTGCACCCTGAACGAACATACTCCATTGCTTGGGTAACAACTTGTGCAGCTGTTGATGTTGGATTGATGATATTCTGATAATCAGGCTGAAGAGTAAATCCCTAGAGGAGAAAACAAGTACATTAGAAAGAATGGAAAAAGAGTAACAGGTTGGGTGCATTAAAAAAAGTAAAAATGCAGGCTGTACTGTGCAATAGTAGAGAATACTAGTTTTCCAGGTGAGATTTTGGTTATAAAACCTAAAATAGGGCAAAATGTGTAGGTGCTTTCTAACTTTTAAAATCTTTCTTTGGATTGAGAAATGAAACACTGCCAAAGCTCTCTTTGCTGTTACACAGTCACAGGATGGAACTAAAGGAGACAGAGCAGAAACAATTCAGAACCAAGAGAACAACTCAATCAGCACTGGGACAAAAAGGTCTGTTTGCTCCTTAGAGCTTCCATTTAGATTAAACGTAAGCACACACACTAGTCACTAATTCCCAGAATATGCAACAGAATCTTTTTGAAGGATGTAGGCAGCAGGTGGCTGACTGTTTTATTAGACTACACCTATTCACGTATTGTTCTCAAAACCCTTTTTCTTCGTTCAGTCACAAAGGGACCATCTGCTGCTTCTTTTATTTGCACTTCTCTCTCAACTAAACGGAAATTCAACCAAAGGTTTTTAACAGTTGTTGGACTAATGTAGTGAAAGTAGCACAGAATAACTTGCCTTTGAAACCAAGGAGATGAGAAAAAAAGTGGAAGTTACAAAGAGACATCTAACCTGCTCTCGGAATTTTCTGTCATATGAAAAGTCATAATCATTTTTAGCTCTTTTGATATATTCTGATGTTTAAATATTGTGTTTAAAACCCAGGAGAACAATTGAAATTTCAAGGCTAGTGTATCTGGTTCACCCTGTGCATCGTGTTCCTGTAAAGTAGGAAGAGCTGTACTGGGTAAAATATGGGAACGTTGTATTAAAGCAATCGATGTCTACTGAAAAAATCCAGACCAAACTCCTTCCTGGGGCAAGGGCATACAATTCCCACTGAAGTTAACTGGTTATGCATAGCTACTAAATCGGAAATGGAACTTGCACCAAGATGCCTAGTTTGTAAACTCACTCCTTCCAGCCAAAGATCACATACAGAATAGATAGAATTAACTCTCTTAGTTTTTTGTTAATTCAGTGTTAGTGTGTTGTGTGTGATTGCTTTTCTTACATAGCCTTCATTAGGACAGGAATTTTGTGGACAGATGTTTGTTTTCTGCAGGTTTAAGAAGGCAGCCATGCTACCCTTTGTCAAGATAAATGAATATTCTCAGCTTTCTCTTGTCCCCCTTCATCCACAGAAATTACCTTCCTTCAAATTGAATGTCACTTCCTTCTTCTCATCTCTCTTCCCTGACTATTCCCTGAGGTCTGCAGGTGTTTTGCCCTACCTCTCATGTGCACTGCCACCTCGGTCCACTCATCCTGATCATGGGTTTTAGTCTAGGCCATAAATGACTGCTACTTTATTTCTTAATCTTTTCCATATGGAGAATACCCTGAGTAACACTTCAGTACCTTAAACACTCTTGGAAACCTTACTTTGTCCCTGTTGACTCCAAGAAACGGACCATTAGTAGTGAGCAAGTTCACAGCTGAATTCTGCATCTAGTTGCCACGTTATTTATATACTGCCCTGTTAATGAGATCAAATAAAGCCTTCCCATGGTGGGTTTTACACTCATGGGGACTGTAACCCCCATGGTCATGCACTGCCTTTTCACCAGGCTCTAAATCTGTGCAGCGAGCTGCAGAGACAACCCCCATACCTGCAACTGATCCAAAGGAAACGGTAATTGAGCAGATTTCCCAATGACTTTGATTGGAGTTTTGTGTAATTAGAAGGCTGAAAATTTAGGTTTGTATACCATCTTCATAATTTTTGTTCAAAACACCAACCATAGGCCTTTTCAATTCAGCTGTAAGAGGAAACCAACCACAGAAACACATCCTACCCCCAGGCACTCAGATTTACCTTCAGTAGTGAATCCCCTGATCTATCATATATACAAGAAAAACACTATATAGGGACAGTAGCCAGTAGCAAAGCATGCAAGTGAGCAGGCACAGAGACTCAAGTACTCCTAAAATCATAGAATGGTTTGGGTTGGAAGGGACCTTAAAGATCATCTGGTGGGCAGGGACAACTTCCACTAAACCAGGTTGCTCATAGGTCCATCCAACCTGGCCTTGAACACCTCCAGGGAGAGGGAGCATCCACAAACTCTGGACAACACTCATGAAGCAAGGAGACAGTTCCTCCAAACCCAAGGAAGAGACCAGCAGTACAATATCCACTCCGTTTCTTCTGGAATTAGGATAAATAAATAGCTTAGGTGTCAGAGAATGGTCCTGGGTTTTAATTCAGGAACTGGGCATGGATGGATTCTCATATTTTTTAAGGTTTTCTGTGTGACCATAGCCAAATTGATTTGGCTCTTTTCCAGCAAAGCACGTGTGCACGTCTGTTTTGACTGATTTGGTACCTCTCATGTTAAGATTGGGACTGCAGAGCCAAATTTAATTCTTCTGCCCGCAAAATAAGGTGTAACAATGCTTTCATCTTGTACCTGACAAGTTCTACTTAGTTTATGGCTGCCTGGGATTGGGCTCTGTTTCTTAGGGCACACTCAGGTGATAAATGCTAACGTGGTGCAGGGGTATCTGTGCCAGGCTCCAGTCCTGGAAGGGTCTCAGTGGTCCCTCTGGGGGGTTGAGGGATACCAGAATACCTGATGGAAAACATGCTTGTTAAAGCCAAGTCATTTAAGCAACTTCAACTCAGTACGAAGGACTGATAAAGTATGGTACTGTCAAAGATGTAAACAAAAATTGCTTCAGCTTTTTTATCAACAGAAAAAGCTCTGAAAATACAGATCTGTACAACAGAGGGAAACAGGTTTGTGGTAAATATTTGGGAATTATTTATGTAAGCCCTTAACAAACAATGATGAAATAAAAAGTGCTCAGAAGATGAGTGCTTCGAGGTCTAATTAAACAATGCTGAATGTTTTTGCATTGTAATGCTCAAGAGAAAATCACCAACTGTTTTGCAACATGCCTAGAATTTTAAATTTCATTTTCTTGTCCCAGATTGAAATAAAAATAGGGAACTTGATAAAGATTAATTTGATGTCAGGAGGGACATTTGCTCTTTAATTAGATTTCTGTAGCCCTAGCAGTTTCGTTGTGCCACTGTAGCAAGTCCTAAAAAGCCTGCAGCAGAACTAAAGAGTGATCCTCATCTCCACACTTTACTAGGAACTAATTTCATTTCCTGCCTGTCTGGAGAGGTATTTTCAACAGGCATCAATGTTTTTGTCTTCACAACTGATTTATTCATCAATCTCAATGTGATATTTTAAACCTTTAAATTACATCCAAATCCTAAAGCATCTGTTTATTACACAAGGAAATTGAAAATCTGTCTGTGTGATATCATACAAAGATTTTTCCTTAAGGTTATAAAGGAAGTTGACAGATATTAATGATTTTTTTTCTCTTGACCTCATTCGAAGACAAAGCTTAACAAAAAAGAAGAAGAAATCTGGACAAATACAGCAGGCTCCTGAGTTTGCTGTATATAAAATATATACCAGAAAAAATGAGGTTATTATTTTTGGCAGGCTATGCAATCATCTTGCTGTATACATTTATTTTCTAAAGGAAAAAAAATACCTAAAAGTAGACTAAAATGAGTTATTATTTAAAAAAAAAAAGTTACATACATTAATCTTCTGGTGCTTTGTTATGCATAGGTACTTGCAGCCATGGGTACTAGACATTCAGAATTTAGTTTTCCTTCCTCTACCTGTGAACTGAAATGGGACAGAGTTGGACACGGGACTCACCATCCCATGCAATGCTTGGGTGCAGGATTTTGAGCAGGGAAGGTGATGCTTCCAGTTGGGCTACTCAAAAAGGTTTCTTAACAAGATCTGGGTGTATTAAGGAGGGAGTGAACCCTCAGCCTCATCACTCTTCACGCCCAAGAGCACAGCGAACAGGCTGGGCAGAGGTGTATGCTCAGAAAGAGGCACAAATGTCCGTGTGAGTAGAGAAAGGAAAGAGCGACCTTGCAAGTGAAAACAGGCTGCAGCTTCAGCTGCTACTTCAGCCTGAACTTTGGAGAAATTGTGCTGATTTGAATGACAAGGGTTAACAATCAGATCATCTAAGGCCAACTGAGCAAAAATTAAACATCATGTCAAACCTAAGAAAGAGACTGGAGAGAGACAACTCTGTATCAGTCAAAAAATTATACAGTGATAAGATGCTCATATGTGCATTTAATGAAAGAAAAATCACACTCTTCAAATCTACTGTGAGTCTGCCTCTGTGTCAAAGGTGGATAAAAGAAAAACTAGGGCACAGTAGATTTTGACTTTGAAAAGTAAAACTTTAACACATCTCCTGTTAATGATATTTAAGAAAAATATAACGGATTTCAGAATTAGAAGTTAATAAAAATCAGGATCTAATTTTAAGCTAAGTATGAGAATAGAGATTATGGTCATTTTTTAATAGTTTAAAAGGATTATCTCTGTAAACAAGCATCCCAAAGGTCTACAGTAATGACCTTTTTAAAATTTATTAATTAACTGCTGGAACAGAAGAGAAAAAATGACAAAATAATCTACCTTCAAGAAGTTAAAATTTAGATAACTCAAAATAGAGATTGTTTAAAATAAATTAAAAAATAATTACTTATAGTAGGCATATGACCAAAATGCTAATATCGATATTTTATATTGCATTTCAGAACAATTTGGATGCATTGCATCAGCTGCATAGTCCACAGAGTTAATTGATTTTAAAAATAACAGAAATTGTGCAGTCACTGAGGACTTTTGGCTACCAGCACTTCTGATTTTTTTGATGTTCTGTAGTTTTTGTGGATCCTCAAAGGAGGCTGCCCTTCTCCAGCTGGCAGTCACTCTTGATTTGGCAGCTGCACACGTGCAGGCAAGGAGTGCTGGATGTGGAGAAGGACATGCTGTTCCCTGTAGAGCTGCGGAAGATCAGCTCATTGTCCTGGAAGCAGTGGGAACAGAACTGTCTCCTCAGGTCAGCACTTCTTAGCAGACCCTCCTCAAAGTCTGCATAAAAGAGATTGTGAATTTCACGCACAATGTTTTTTGGAGAACTGTGTTCCTGCCTGCCAGGACTGAAATCTGGATCTCTTTGTGGTTTTTCTTGCAGTTGGCAGTCCTTCAGACATTTTACAAGATGGCCTTTGATAAGAAACTATCCTCCTTTTCCTGGAGAAAGTGACTGACCAAATGTCACAGAGCCAGAGTTCAAGCAGGGGATATGTTGAGAGCAGGGATTTGCAGAGCCTGCTACTGTTGAGTGTCACACTGGTGAGCCATGAACTATTTCAAAGAGGGATGTTTGAAAAAAAAAAGGCCAAAAAACAAAACAAACGAACAAACAAAAAAAAAAGGGGGGGGGGGAAAAAGGAAAAAAAGAAAGGGAAGGAAAGGGAAAAAAAAAAAAAAAGAGAACCCACAATTGATGATTTTTACTTCTAACATGTCTCCAGCACAGTCTGCAATGAAGGTGCCCAGCCAGGTGAGCCAACACCTGCAGCAGAAAACTGCTCTGCTGGGAAGCTGTTGGCAGACTTACTCTTCTCCTGCCCATTAAGCTTCATGCTGCAGTATGACATGACAAAATTTGCCTCTTTGTTTTCTTATAGTGCATTAGTCTATTTAGTATGAGTAGTGCTGAGGCTTCCAAAAAGGAAAATTACTCCTGTTGCAAGTCACTCCCTAGGGAGTGGTATGTTAGCTAGATTCTGTTCTTGCTGCCTTCATGGGGTCTTTGGAAAGGTTTATGGTGGCCATACCTAAGCATGGAGGAAAAAAAACAACTTGAGGGAAGAGGAAGTGAAAAAAAGTTGGTTTAAAAGCAACTATTGCTCTCCTTTCTCAGAATTCATATGCTTCCATTCTTCTTGGATTTTTATTCAGGAGAGTGTTCTACACAGTGCTGTTTGGGACTGAACATCACACCCAGACCTCCCCTTCCCTCCTCTCCACAGGCCAGACAGACAGTGTGGTGTCTCCCCTTTCTCCTTACTGCTGTTGACTCTGAGCTGCTGAGAGAGCTCAATTTTTCTCCCACTACATCTTTTCCTCTTTAACAAGCTCTGTGATCAGCAGAGTGTTTGCTCTATTTCAACCAGAAGGGAGAGCAGAGTCCTTCAACAATTGAGTCAGAAAGAGGCCCTTACTTTTAGGTTGTAATCTCTTGACTTTTTGCTATTTGCCTCCTGGTGACCAGCCTGTCTTCTATGTTCTAACACAGTATGAAATGCTGGTGTTGTGTTTTCTATCATTTCTTGACTAAAAAGAGTCACACCTAAGAAACTGAGCAGGATACCACTGTTCTGTTCTGTTTTGTTTTGTCATGGCAAATCATGGTATTGTCAGTACACCCCTAGCCCTATAATGTAATGTATATTTTGCTATATTTAAATTCAATTCACAAACTCTATAAGCTGTTATTTCTTAAAAAAACCCGCAAACAAATATTCCAAAGTGAAATGACATAGATTTTCTCGAGCTCAAGAGCTGCATGACTGTAAAGCAAAAGCAGGAGTGTAAGAAATATAAATCGGCTTGTAGATATTACACAGTGATTAAAGAGAGAAGAGAGGTGAAGCATGGCAGTGAAGCATTTCAGCAAGTAACAAGCACCTTGAGTGAAACAGAAATATCTCACCACAGTATCTTCATCAAAAGCATCAGCCTTTCTAACTAAGGAATATAAGTTAGTAAAAAGCATTTGACCTAAAATGTTGTGAGTTTAACAGGAACACAGAGGTACAGCATTTTTACTTAACTGTAATTTTCCTTAGTTAAAAAAAAAACCCTCATCATGATAAAGATCTACATTCTGACTTCTAGAGACCTGTTTTCTACAGCCAAGGGTCCTGTATTTTTTCTTAAGCTACAAACAAGTCAACTGCGTGCCATATATCTCACAGATGACTGAAAGTACTTTCAAATCATGGATGCACACACCTTATGCTACAAGCTTGCAACTTGGCAAAATAAAACATTAGCAGATTCATACTACATTAGCTTTTCTTTGGTAGAGTTTAAAGTAATGCCTAAGTGTTTATTCATACAAAAATGAGAGTTTATGTATAAATATGTAAGTATCCAACATCTGCATGACATCTTTTGTTAGCCCCAACTCTACTCTTAATTCACTAAATGGAGACAGATTTTCAAATCTATTCAGTAAATTATGCCTAACAATTCTGGAAAAGACATAGGGAATTCTGCATTGGACGACTAATACGCAAGTGACACTGAAGCTGGCAAACAATCTGAACTTGGAAGACTGAGTCACTGTGCAATAAAAACTTGCTGAAATGTAGTTATAGGATCTCAACAGGTGGCCGTCACAGATGTAATTCCTCATGTTTGGCAAATGAACCAGAGTATTGCCTTGTCTCTCACTGCTCTGAGACTTCAGGTTCAACCAGGATTCCTCGGCCTTAGGATCTCCAGACAGACCCTCCTGGCTCACCCACCCAGGGCTTCCTCCAGCTAATTCCAGCTGCCCGGGCTTGGGGTCAGCTCCTGAGTTTCTCTGAGCATGGCTCTCCTGGAAAACTCACACCAACTGCAGGAAAATCTCCATGAATACATGCTTCCACATATGTGTGGTCATAAGTCTGTTGAGTCTGTTTTCTCTGATAGTGACAAATTGACCGAACTAGGAAAAAGTTGTGAACACTTCACAAGTTTTCCTTTCTGATTACTCCAAATCACTCCTGAGACTAAGATCAAAGTCTCTGAATAAATCCAAATCTTCCTGAGCATATCTTGATTTATCTCCTGAGCAACTAAGTTTATCAGTCCAAATTGATTTCAACACTTTTGAGGTTTTTTCTGCTTTGGAAAATTTCTCCCCCTGTTAAATTGTTCTCCTGGCAAGAAGCTATGGTTTGCGTTCAAGTATTCTCAATTCTAAAGACCAACCTTGAGATGAAATGTTTCTGGCTTGGAGAGCAAATGCAAATGCCTTGTTAGCAAAGGTGAATTTTTAGAGAAATATAAAACATGAAGCAAGTTCATGACTATGTATTATCAGTTGGTACTGACAAGTTTTGTGCATACAAATTTTGTAGATTCTTGCAATTCCATTTAAAAAATTTTCATTTTACTGCCACTTTGCAAAGCAAGATATTATTATTGATAGTCAGATCTCATACAATACAAAAGGAAATTTTCTCTCATGCAATCAACAGTTTATCTGCTCTCTTTATATTCTTCTGTAAGCCTGGAAGGCACAATACCATGGATGGTCTGCATTAACTCAGAACTCGTAGGAAATGTATTGAGAATCATCTATCTAAAACATTCAGAGTAGGGGAAAAAAAAACCAAACAAAAAAGCCCCATAATGGGATGGTGGACACAGCCCATTTATTTGCAGTAAAAAGAAGGTATGTCTATTTAGCAAAATGAAGCTGTGAATGTGGAGTAATGTAACACACTTGTGTTCACTTAATCTAGCATGTTCAGCCCAACCTGGGATGCTTTACATTTCCTCTGACAATTCCACACCACCGTCAGCACAAGGATAACAGCATAAGCTACAATCATAGTTTTTCTAGACATGCCTGCCTTTTGTTTGCAAAGTGTGACTCCTGAAGGCTTTGCATTTCACTATTTCAGGGTAGCCACAGACTTGCAGATGGATCTATGGGCAGTGATGGACATTGTCACTAGCACAAACACTTCTACTGCAGTTTTCCATCCTCTACTTAAACTCCTTCATTTGCTCTTGCCCTTGGAAGACTAAGCCTATATGACCATGGTTTTGGAACCAGCTTCTGGATGACTCCCCATCCCACGCCCTCCTCAAAAATAAAATAATTCCCCAGAGAACTGAGAAGCCCCAACTTACTTGCTGCATTGTAGGTGAGTGTAAAGCAGACTGGACCTGCATTGGTAGCTGGTTTCCAATGGACTGCTGCATTGGGATAGGCTGGTGCTGCTGGATGTTGAGATGCTGGTGCAGAGGGGGGCTGATCTGGAGCGGAGGAGGAGGGGACACAGCCATGTTTGCTATGGAAACAGTCACTGGCATTTGGTTGTTGGGCTTGGGCGCTATGTTCCTGGGGATATTGGCATGCATGGCGGTGATGTGGGGATTCATTCCTGGTTGTTGGTGGTAGTGGGAACTGAGGTACAGGGCAGAGTGGGCCTGGGCAGGCCCATGAAACACTGACTGCTTTGAATTCATCATCTGAGGTTGAGGGGAGGCTTTAACATCAACAGGTTCGCTGTAGCTCTGTTGGAGAAAAAAAAAAATCAGAAAACTTAGAAGAAAAAATCAGAATACTTAGAAGATACCAAATATGGCTGTTCTACCCTCATTCAGTCTGTTTAAGTGCCACACAATAAGCAAATATTTATCTGGACCATCAAACTTTCCTTGAAATGGAGTTTGGTTATTGGTCTAGAAAAATAATTAATCCCTTTTCACCTTGCACTTTTGCCTTCAACATTGTAAAAAGAAAAAGTAATTTAGGTCCTTCATTTCCTGGTCTAGCCTGGCATTTTCTTTATCCAAACTTGGAGCTGCCATCACTGATCTAATATCTTACACAACCAACGCAACCAAGCCTGACACATTTTTTCACATAAGCAGCCACTATTATTGTCCTCAGATTCCATGGCCTAGTTGAAAAGGAACATTAGGAGGGTGGGTTACAGAAAAACTCTGTAGTGATTTTTGACTTGCCCTGTTTTTCCATCTGCAAACCATGGACAAGATTTTCAAGATCTTTTACCATATACATTGATATTGCTAATAGTTATTTATCACTTAGTTAACATGACGAAGAGGCTAAACCCCATCCTCAGTTGTTCTGCTGCATGGAACAAATATACTAGCTGCTGTGCCAATCCCTTTATTTTGAAATATTTTGTGTTGGAATGCTATCCATGCCATCAAACATATTACATAGGCCATGCATTAAGAGAAATAGAAATACTCTGAATAATTTCTCTTTTAGCAAAACATGCTTTATTAATCCAAAAATTCTATTTAAAACTTATAGCTATATAAATGCTAGCCTGCACTAGATATAGGGAAGTTATCTTTACTCTAAAGCTAGAAGAATACTACATAGATATGAGAAACTGCAGTTTTCAGAAATATTATGGTCGGTCCTGATTTCTTAAAGTTACTAATAATAAAACTTGTCCATGAATGAATATGAATTTTAATAACATTTTTGTTCTAATATTTATAACTTGCTACATTTGGTTAAACTCAATTTACTCAATTGTTTTCATACATTTATTTTCTTAGCTATCTGGAGTGCTAACTGTGTGCTCAAATAAATGAGAAAAAAATTTAAGAATTAACTCCCATATGCTTATAGGTGGGAATCATAATTTGAAGTTAAGTCATACTGGGATTAATAGTCAGTGAAAGGTGAAACACGCTGGGAAAAAAAGGCAGAAATGTCCCTCTGGAGAAAATCACTTTGTCAAAACAAGGCTTAAAGTGGAATACAATTCTGTGATCTCCATGTCATGTTTGCTCAGTTTACAAGTCAGAGTAAGTTTCATGTTACTCTCAGCACTCCAGGGTCAATGAAGTCTATTTGTATTCCTTCTGAAGGATGCACCATCACCAACAATCTGTTGACACGAGCGCTGCTGAAATTGCTTCATTATATGCAATGATGAAGATGAGAATAACTTCCTTCTCCCTATGTGTAACTGCAGTTCCATTAGCAAAAAAACCCCTTGTTTTCTGCAGTAAATGAAGGAAAATTAAATGAATATGAAAAAATTAATGCAAATCTCTGTCTCTGTGGATCTGCCTAGCTCTGCTCGCATGTGGGTGTACACGTGTGCAATATATATTATGTTCATGTTTGCAGGATTCAGATGCTGACATAAAAGCCTGAAAGTAGCTGAAAAATCTGCCATTATTTGGATATTATTTTTTAAACATTGAATTAATGTTCATGAAAACATGGGAAGAATTTCCCCCCCTCTTCCCAGTTGTATTTTTAGAACACTCCTGAGTGTAGAAGCAATGATGGGCAGGTTTACTGAAATTTCAGCAATTCAGAAGGTTTGTTAATTAGCAGCATGGTCAGGAGACTCCTCTTGGGTGTCCCATGCTTATTTTACATTACAGGAGGAGCAGGCCGTGTTCTTTCTTGAGAGACTTGGAAGTTTTTCTGAGAGCCCAGTCCCCTCATGGAAACAGTTTGTCTTTCCATGGTGCAGCTGGCAGGCTCTCTGTGGTCCAAGCAGGGATAATTGCTCCTGAAGTGTCTAAGGGCAAACTGGCTAAACTAAACCTCCTGGAGAGGTGAGTGCTGCAAAAAGCCTTTGCTGACATACTGATACACACTTCTATTTCATTTTTCACTACAAAGATGCTGCCATACACACCTTTAACAAAGAACCAGGGAACCAATCTAATTACTGCACAATTCTGAGTTCACACATAAGTGGTGGATGCATGGCCCACACTGATAAAATTACAGACATATAGATAGTATAATTTGATACTTTAAATGGTGAATTATGTTAAGAGGAATTGCAGAGCCTATGGTCAGAGATAAATAACACTTATTACACCTCTGAGAAGAGCTCTGCAAAGTGATCAAAAGGGACAGTTTCAGTTGTCTCAAGCTATGAATCAGCTTTCTATGTTTCACCATCTCTTGATCCAGTAAAAAGCACAACACTTCAGCTTAAGAGCAAGTATTTTGCTATAACTTAGGATGCTTTAAGTCATATGTGATCTGAAACCAAATTGTCCAATATCAGTGGAAAACGCATCAATATTATCAGTTACTGGAATCTTGATAAATGAACCCATTAAATGCCATTCTTCAGCATACTGCACTTTCGGCTTTTTTCTGCAGCTAGGTCAGAAACACATATTTTGTAAGTATTGCTGGACCTAATAAAATAGGTGATGTCCGGTACTTCAGCTTTGTGATATCACTTTGCTGTGAAATATAACAAGAAGCATGTATGACACAGGTCACACTATGGTTTTGGGCCCAATTGCTGCTCTCACAGACTAGAATGTGTATTGCACTGGTCCTATGCAGTATCAGACAGTCTTAGACAAGGACTTTGATTATGGGTAAAAATTGGAATTAAGAAAGAATGGATTTGACTGTCCAATAAGGGCTTCAAATGCACAGTTACCTTCCCTACTTTGCAGGTTGGATTTCAGCCAATATTCTCTTGACTTATCCAAGGAGAAGAGTGCACAACTTAAAAGCTCTCCCAAATCTCTAATTAATCTGCCCCAATAATCTGCCCCAAGCCAACAGAGACAATTTACATCACTAATTTATAGGATGAAGTTCTAGGACAAAATTCAGATATATGCAGTGGAGACCAAAATTACAAATCCATACACACAGGCCACCAAACACTGGGGCCTAGTAAATCCTAAAAAATCTTCTACTAGACATGTAGTGAGAACATCCATGTTCTAGCTGAGGAATGGTGGTGCACACCCACCACTAGAGGGTGACAGAATATTACATTTAGTTAATGGCAGGTGGTGGTATTTTACACATCCATTAGGGAACGTACACTAAGGTGACAAATTAGTTTTTCGTAACAGTCCTTTATGCTCTTTGAGTGGCTTATACTTGTTCTGGAGAACAAGTTGAAGCCTTACTGTAAATCTTAACATTCCTCATAGTCTAGGAGAAGGATTTCCTATGGACCTGTCTCTCCTTCTAACATCATCACCAAATACTACTGTCTAAATTAAATAATAAATAAAAAACCAACAAAAACTAAACTCAGAAGGTGAAGACAAGGCAATGGAATGGTACAGAGAAAGTATGACTGCCCTTTAGGCACAACACAAATCCTCTTCCCATCCCCTCCAAAAGAATCCGTTGTTTTACCGAAACACAAAGAAAAAAGGGAAGAACATTTTGAAATCCCAACAGAAAGATAATGAAAGTAGAAGAGATATAGGAAAAGGGACAGAACAAAATAAGTACTACTGTAACTCTAATGATAACAAGTATAATTATATTAACTAAAATTACTGGTGGTGCATGACCCTTGGTCCACAAAATTATGGACCACAAAATACAAATTTATTTGTATAATATTCTCAAGGAAGTCTGTGATGATGCAGATGAGTGCTGTTCTGAACAGAAAGTGTTCAGGATAGATAATTTTGCACAAAGTTTGGAAAGCACTGAATCAAGTTATTCCCCATGATTTTCACCAAACTCATGATTTCCCTTCCAATTTTAGTGCAAAGAGAGCTTTCCCATGCACGTCTATTCCCCAGCTGTGTGCCAAAACTCCTCATGCTTCATTGCCAAATTAAAGAATTCAATTAGGAATAGGGGGTTAGGCATTGCTCACTTAGCTGTGCCATTCTTTCCTGAAGGGAACAGCCCTGGGCCTAGTGATCATTCTTATCACACTGCATTCAGGCACAGGTAGTGTGTCTGTTCCTTAGAGGAAAGTGACATTGGGATTTCACCCTATTCAACTCTCTCCTGTGGTTGAGAAATTATTTTTGGTAAAGACATCCTGCTCAATTTAGCTGTGTTATTAAAAAAAAAAGGCCTAGATGATGCCATTTTGGCATCTCCGTATCTTTGGGATATAATCTGAAAACTTTGAAACAATTTGAAAACTCACACTTTAAGCTCTCACCTATGTGTCTGTGTAACCAAAAAGCTCTTGAAACCTACACAGGGGTATTGGTTCTCTTTCTAAATTGTGTCTGCCTTCTGGCTACTGTTGGAGATTGCAATCCCATTTCTGTTGGAACATAAACATCCATGTGGTTGAAAGTAAAGCAAGAACATGTTTTAACAAGGCAGTACTCAAAGGGCCTGGTCTTTAGACTACTGAATTTAAAGGAAAATCTATTATTAATTCAAACAGAATTTGGATCACAGCCCAGCACTGTTACCGCTACTTAAGCATTAATGTCTGGATGTCCATTTTATTTTTCATGAAAACCAGGTAGGATCTGACTAATAGAGGCTGAGAATCACTCCCAGCTGATGATCACTGCTTTTGACCTCTGATCCATTAGAAGCATGCCTGGAATCTACAAGTGCCTACGCTTATTTCCATTGTTAACATGTTAATGCAGTTTTTGTTAGAAATGTTGCCAATAAGTAGGACTACATAGATGTATTCGCAGATTATGTATATGGATATCTTCAATTTACATAATTTATCCATGCTTCATATCCAGAATTCTTTTCTATCATAGAATAATATGTGGGAATTAAATAGATTTTTACAATAATT